ATAGCGCACCTAGAGCCTAGGGTACACACAGTGTTGACACTGGGGGGGCTCAGTATGATGTGGACTAAGGCAGGCAGTTAGTTCAGCGCCAGAGTTTAGAAGCCACACTTTTCCTTCCTATAATCCTTTTGCTCACCAGTGAGTCAAATAGGGGGGCGGTAGTTTTGCATGACCACTCCTCTTTCCAGCCCTTTTAAAAGCCCATGCTGAGGAGGCGCTTGCCCCTGTTTGCAGACACATCATGGACTCAAGAGGACAGAAGGTAGCAATCTCTCTCCCTTATCCTTTCCCTTCCTGGCTCACTCTCCCTGAACATGGCCCACGTGTGTCTGTATTCCTCACCTTCGGAATAAACCTTCCCACCCTCTTAAACCATGTTGGTGTCTATGCTTAACATACTTCTTTTTTTTTTTTAAGTAAGAGGCAAAAACATAGGAAATAAACATTAGGCCCTAACCTAGACCACAATAAGTACCACCGTCTCCCTCTCTCTGCCAGTTCTTGGAGTAATAAAAGATGTGGTTTCTCAGTCTGCCCAAATAAAGATCCAGCCTTGGTTTCTTTGTGTCTGCCTTCTCCATGACCTTTAAAATCTTTCACAGTTGGGGACCATCACCAACCTCAAAAGATCACACCTACAAAGTTGGCTACAACGTGTTTGGTCATGAGATTTTGAGGTCAGGATCTGTCACTGCAGTGTTTGTACCCTTGGGACTCAGCAGGCTCGGCAGGTGCTCTGAGGAGTGGATGGGCCCTATGTCATCAAAGGACTGCCCACCTCCACCTGTCTCCTCTCAAGGATTTTGAGAACCTCTCTTGGCTCCTGACCGTCTCCTGGATTTTTTCCTATCCTGGGAATGTTCACTTTAGAGCTGCCAAGTTAGTTCCTTAACTCTTCCCATGCCTGCCTGAAATGCCCCACTCTCAAGACGCCCTCCCACGCGGGCCAATTTGCAACTTGTCCAATCATGACAGACAACACCCTCCTGCTGGCCTATCTGGTCCATGCTGAGGTTTAATCATCCCACCTCTGGGCAGAAACAGACCCTGACGTGAGCCTGGGGCTCTTCCTGGGGAAGGGATAGAGATGATGAGTGATGATTGGGGTACCTCAAGCCACATGTGTGAGGCCCATGGCTTAGACAATATACCTGTCACAAAGCTGAAAAAGAGGGTTGGACTTCAGGTCAACTGATGCCTGTCCATGTTGAGTTGGATTCTCCTTAGTGGGAAATGGTTGGGTTGGTGCCCTCAAAGGAGGGGCAGGGGAAGCTAGGGCTGGAGTCCAGACTGAGTTTCCCTCTGAGGATTTTGCCCCTGTCCTAATCCTGGGCATTGCACCTGATAGGTTTCCTAGGGAGGTGAAAAGAATGGGCTGTTGCCCAAGTCTTGGAGCCTTGATTTAGTTCTCCCTCTGGGTAGAAGTCATCTCCTGTATTTTTCTACCTGCATTCCATCCCCAGAAAGCAACAGAGGCCAAGGAGAAAACACCCAAATCTGTAGTGTTCGCTGGGTACAGGGCACAGCACAGCATGGCATCTGGAAGTCAGGGCACCAAAAAAAAGTCCCCCACTTTGCAACCTGAGTCTGGGTGATTAAATGCATAGGAAAAGCCACAAGCCAGCAGTTTGCAACAAAGCTGGCAGGCAGCAGGAATGTTGATCTGGAGGATCATGTTTCCAGGGGTGTGAAGTGGGGGCAGTGGGGGTTGAGGAGAGACATACCTCCCTGGGCCAGGCTGGTACACCAGGGCGGCTAGTTCAGGTTGGGGGGATTGAGGTCGTACTATGACAAATGCATGTACACGCGCGCGCGCACACACACACACACACACACACACACACACACACACTTCCTCCTCTCCACCTCTGCCCCTCCTCTTCTTTCCCAAACAGGCTCCTGGAGATTCAGCCCCTACCCTGCAAATCTCTGGTTCAGGATCTGTGGCAGCTCTGGATCTCCCCACTCCTGGAAAAGCCTGTGCAGGCCCCACCCTAACTTTATGAGACCCCGTTGGGAGCTGGATTGGAGAATGTGGAGGGGAGCAGCATGGGGAGTTTCGTCCTCACCTTTTAACATACCCCAGACCAAGCATCAAACCCGTTGCTTTCTTCTCTCCATTCTTCCCGCCATCTCTGCTGCTTTCTCTGTCACTTTCCTCTTCCTCCGTGCCTTTCCTCATCAACCTTGTCCCATACTCTTAACCTCTTTCATTCTATTTGTCTCTTTTTTCCTTTGTAATTCTTTGTTTTCCTCATCTTTTTCTTCTCCTCCACCTCTCGCTCACTCTCTCTTGCATGCTTTCAGTAAGCTCTGGCTGGCATCTATCACACACAAGCCCCGTGGTAGCCACGGCTGCAATCCTAAGGGGAGGAACAATGGGACTCGGAAGGAGTGAGTCTATTTCAAGAGATGATGAGCAAGTGGATGCCTGGGCAGCTGTTTTTAGATCCATAATTGAGTGATTGGGTGATTTCAAATATAGAAAATACTGTTTCAACTCAAAAAAAAAAAAAAAAGAGAAATGCTTATCTGGGAGGGAGCATCCATCCTGTGAAATCCCATGTGACATTTGCCACGTCCGGGGCTCGGAGCTGACAGGCAAAGCTCATGGAGGTCAGGGAGTAGGAAGGCCTGTGACTGCCCATGGGAAAGAGACTGGCCTTGGTCCTGGAGGGAGGGGGCAGTGGTGGCGGTGTCTTCTCTGCACAGAGGCAGGAAGGAAGGATCTCAGCGCCTCTTGTTTTCTGCCCCAGGAAGTGATGCTGAGGCCAGACCCAGGAGGCCTTGAAGGTCAGGAGCACGTGAAGGAGAGGTCTAGGAATGACTGCGGTCAGTGAGCAGAAGGGCAGGTGCAGAGCTTGAGGAAGACAAATCCAGCAGCAGGCGCTCAGGGTATGCACGAGGCTCAGGGACCCACAGAGAGGACCCACGGGCCTGCTGCTGTGCAATGACCTGCGCACCCAGTGGTGCCTGAGCCAAGCAAGCAGGGCAGCCGGGGAAGTGCGGGGACAGGTCCGAGTGATACCAAGTGACAGTGCCTCCCTGATTGTCATCCTGCTCTCTCCCTTGATCCTTGTTTTTGCCCAGTGGCCTGAGTTTCTCTTTCCCAGCAGATCAAAAGGCTTTCTGGAGGGGCTGCTATAGGGCCAGCCTCACCTTCAGGCAGAGACCGTCTGCTCCCAGTGATGAGAATCCCAGCTCTTCCCTTGAGCGCACGGCTTCAGAGGCGTGAAGAGCTGTGCTTCTCCGGGAAGGTGGTGGGGCAGGCAGCCTCTCCAGACCTTGCCCACCCGAGCTGGCATAGCCTTCCTTGCAAACCTCCCACAGCCTGCTCCCTGCAGCCTGACTTGCCAGCCTCAGATCCCAACCCCGAGGGGGCCGCAGAGGCTGCTGGACCTTCCCCCCTCTTCCCTCTGCCACTACCCAGGTTCACCCCCAGCCCCTGAGCTTGTGGTAGAGTTGTAGGGCCCAGGAGGGGAAATCTAGGGCCTCTCTGAGGACCTGATTATTTCCAAAGACTTGTGCTAATTTTCTGATATGATCCTCACATCTCTGTGAGGCACTAAATCCTCATTACTTTTCCTGACCGATGCATTCTAATTAGATCAACACTTAAAAAAAATTTCACAATAGCCACAGGATGGCTTTCCATCTCATTAACTCCTCACTTATTATTTTCATGAAAATTACTGATAAAAATGTGCATCTCCATTTGGGGCGGCCTCACAGCCTGCTCAGCTCCTATCTCGCATCTCTCCCGTCACTGGGGCTGCGCAGCGTCACCATGGTAACCCACAATAATAGAAACTAATAAATTACAAACGAGATGCTCGTTGAGCAATTATTGTCCTCTTTTATGCAAGTTTCTTGCTAATTTTGATCATAAGGGAAAGTACAATAAGACTCTGAAGGAATGAGTCTATTTCAAGAGAATATTAGCAAGCAGAAGCCTGGGCTGCTGTTTTTAGATCTGCAATAAAGTGATTTGGTGATTTCAAGCAACAGGAAGAAGAAATAAACTTCCTGCCCACGTCCCAGGCTGCTCTCACTATCAAGTCCCATGGAGATTTCACTGGGGTGTGCTTGATAGGACACTGTCTCAAATGCATGTTGTCACGATGGCAAGGCGAGGTTGGCCTTCTCTGGGCCAGCCTGTCTCTTCCCCTGCCTCTACCAAACCGAGTGAACATTGGTCACATCCTTGCTGAGGCATTATTGCCAGCATCCCTGTCCATTCATTCTCGGGAAGTTTACTAGTATCCCCAGGCCTGATTATCTCATGGGGTGGGCTCTGGTCAGGCTCCAGGTTGACCTCCTTACATCTGTGTTGGACTCGGTGATACAGTGAGAGAAGAACAAAGGAGCAAGACTGTGGCTTCCAGAAATGCCGATGAGTTTGGTGGGAAAGTATCACTTATTTTGCAGGTCTGAGGGAAATATCTGGTCCTGCAGAGAACCAGTTCCTTGCACAGGACCCAGTTCCTAGCATGAATGTGGCAGGTGCATCTTGGAGGTGGGTGGATTATAAAGGTGACATTTAAGGTGGCCCCTAACCTTAGGGGACAGAGAAAGGGTGAGCAAGTAGAGGTAGTCAGGAGAAGCAGCCCATGGAAGCCATCTTCATATGAAGTGGGCAGGACTCAGGGGCTTAGCTCTTTCCTGTCTCCTTTCCAGGAATGCAGAAAGCTCCCATGCTGTGGAGGAGCCTGTGTGGCCAGGAGGTCTGCAAGCATCCCCAGTTCATCCTCCAAGAAAGCATCCCCTCTCTTCCCTCTAGGGCACAGTTCTTGGGATATCTTGGGTCAGGAAGCTAGCAAGAATCTTGGATGATGTGGTCCCTGTCAGGTCTGGGGAAAACTATCTGGGGAATACTGATGCCCTGACATGGAGGCGTCTGTGTGAGTTGGGGCCTGTGCTGTCTGATGGATGTAAGCGGTGGATCGGAGGGGGGTGGGGTCCTACTGGCAGCAGGATCCAATGGTTCCCATGTGTGTTACCTGTGAGTGAAGGTTTATGGAGGGCTGGTTGGGGGAGTAGGGTCCCCCAAGGTCATTCCTGAGCAGGTTATCACTGTGCATCTTGGTTTTGAGGCAGGTGATGTAGCGGTTGCAAAAGTCCTTGCAGAGTTCATTGACTTTCTCCAACTCCAGAAGGTGGATTCTCAGCACCTGGATTGCCTTCACCATCTGGGGAGAGGGGGCAGCAGTGAGTCCAGGTGTTAGAGTAACATCCTCCCCTCCCACCCCCACCTAACCACCACAAACCATGGGCAGCCCCGCCCCAGCCCCAACCACTGCAGGGGAGAGCAGCCCCTGCCTTCCCATTCACAAGATTTAAATTCTAGCAATGACTCTCTGCTGATTGTTCACCTGCGTTGAGCCTGCTGTCAGCACAGCTGTTCTAGAGGTAACGGTAGTAGTCTGAGAACAGCACTGGCCTTAGAGAGAGAAAGCTAGTTCATGCTCTGGATCTGCCACTCATTATCTGTGTGACCTTGGGCAAGTTGCTCTAGCTCTCTGAGCCTTGGAAGCTAACCAATAGGGATAATGACACCCTCCTCAAGCGCTTTATAGGCCTGCTGAAGGGACCCCATGTGGGAGATGCACATGATCTCACGAGGTACCTTGTAAAGTACTGAACAAGCAGATGTAAGACTGAGATAAGAGCTTCTGGTAAGTGCTCTGAGAGGCCAGGGACTGTCTATTCTTAAACACGTACTCAGGGTGACTCATGTGATGTGGCTACCTTGTGGACGCTCCATTGATACCTGCTGACTGACTGAATAATCCAACGTGACCTAACTGAGTGCCGGACACCTGTCTGCTTCAGTGCCCTTTGCTTTGTAGCATGAATGCCTCTTGCCTCTGCACATGGTTTAGGAGTCTGGATTAAGAGATTCTCAACCTTCCCTTGGCAAGGAGCTATTTTGCAGTAGAAGCGTTGCTCTTTGTTGTTATGCTCATAAAAAGAAACAATTATGGGCAGCACGGAAAACAGAGGGCAAAGGGGGAAAAGCCCCTGTCTTTGATCCAATAATCCTAAAAGAAGGGTGATTCCCGCCTCCCCGTGCATATGTTTCCACAGTTTCAATAAGCTTGGACATAATCATTTCATTTCCTGTGTTTCCTTTAGTTTATTGAATGTGTGTTGCTTGGTGCTGGAGTTGTCCTTATTCTCCCTTTTGAACTGTGAGCTTTGAGCAGGATGACACCTAATTGTTCACATGCCGTTATCAGACATATATGTATAGATACCAAGTGAATATTTGTTGGTAAGTGAAAGCTATTGCATGCATTTTAATTGTTGAATGTTATTTCAAGTCTGTGCCGTAGAATCAGTCCCCTACTATTATATTAACATTCATTCAAGTTTTTCAGTTTTATCGAAAAATGCTATAATAAACATTTTCTATCTTTATAGCTTACCCTTCACATTGGTATTTCTATGGTATTTCCTTAGGATCAACTCCCAGAAGTGACAAGGAAAAAACTATGGAAATTCTTAACGGCTCATGATAAATATTGTCAACTTGTCTTTCAGCAAACGGGAGAAAATGTTCCAGATGTGCTGAAACAATTGGATTCACATGAGCAAAATAAAATAATAATCACAATGGCCACATCTTACATGTAAAAATCAACTCGGGGGTTAGCTGTGGTGTAGCACATTCAGCTTATACTGCCTGCAACAGAGCAGAGATTTGAATCCCAGCTGCTCAGCTTCCGATCTAACTTTCTGTTAATGCAACTAGCAAGGCAGAGGAAGACGGTCCAAGTGTTTAAACCGCTATGATGCAAATGGGAGAGCTTGCTGGGGTCCCTGGCTTCTAGCTTCAGCTTGGCTCAGTCCTGGCCTTTGAGGCCATTTGGAAAGTGAACCAACAGATGGAAGATCTCGCTGTTTCCCTGTTTCTGTGTCATTCTGCCTTTTGAATAAATAAATAAGTCTTTTAAAAGGTTTAAAAAAAACCCTCAAATACATCAACAAGATAAAAATTTAAGGTGGAAAACTAAAACTTTAGGGAAAAAGCAGAAAAAAAAACTCTGGGATTAGTCAAAGAAGTCTTGTTTCTGATGTCTACCTGACATCAGAAACATGATTCAGAAAAGGATAGTGATGAATTGGACAATATCAACACTGAAATTGTTTCCTCTTCAGAAGAGCCTGTGAAAATAACAGCAAGATCACAGATGGGGAGACAATCATTTCAAGCCATATACTTGACAAGGATTTGGGTATCGACTGTGAAGAGACTTCAAAAAAATTCATGGAAATGTGTATTACCCAAAAAACTAGGCAAGGATTTAATTGGCGCCAAAATAAAGTTTTAGTTCTATTTTCCACTGACTTTTTGAAGCACACACATATAAAGAGCTCTCAAAACTGAACAGCAAAATAGGCTAGTTGACTCAAACACGTGCAGGCATTTCACTGGAGAGGGCACATGAATGGCAACCAAGCACACGAAGCAGTGTCCAGTGGCACCAGTCAATGGGGAAATGCAGATTAACACCAGCATGGCCCCATTAAAGAACGCAGATAACACCAAATGGTGGCATGGAACTGGGAACTCAACCATTGCTGGTGCAAATGTGAGATGGCACAGCCACTCCCCAAGGCAGTAGCACAGATTCTTACGAAACTAATATACACTCACCATATAATTCAACCATTGCACTCTTGGGCACTTAGCCCAGAAAATAAAAATACATATCTAGGGGAGGCTTCTGGCCTACCGCTTAGGATACTGGGTAGTGTCCCTGCATCCCACATCAGAATGCCTGAGTTTAATAGTCAGCTGCAGCCTTTGATGTTGGCTTCCTACTAATGCAAATCCTGGAAGGAAGCAGTGATAGCTCAAGTAATTGGGTCCCTGCCACCCAATGGAGACCTGGTTCCAGTTCCTGGCTCTCAGCTTTGGTGCCGTGGGTGTTGTAGACATTTGGGGGGAGTGAACAAGTACGTGGAAGTCCTCTCATTTGTTCTTTTTCCCTCTCAAATTTAAAAATTTTTAAATGTATGTTCACACACAAACCTGGACACAGTGTTCAAAGTTATTAACTTTATGTTTAATAGTCCCAAACTGGATAAAACCCAGATAGATAAACAAATGGTGAATAAAGAAACAGTGGTACACCCATATTAAGGAATCTGTGCCTCAGTAATAAAAAGGAAACAGTCAACAACTTGAATGAATCTCAAGGGAACTGTGCTGAAAAGCAAAGGCCAGTGTCTCCAAGTGCTGTGTACTAGATGCTATTTATGTAGCAATCTTGAAATGACAAAATCAGTGACAGAGCACAGATTAGTGGTTCAAGGGTGCAGAAGAGAAGGAGCTGTCTGTATCTTGATTATAATAGTGTCCACATGAATCCAAAGACACATAAAACTACACACACACAGACACACACACACACAGTGAATGCAAAATTGGTGCAATCTGGGTAAGATTGGTGAGTTGTTCTTGACTGTGAAATTGTGCTATCTTAATGTTAGAAGGGAATCAGATCTCTTTGTATTGGTGCTTACAATTGCATGCAAATCTACAATTCCATCCAAATACAGAGTGAATTCAAAAGGGGAGGGCTTGTTGCCTTTCCATAGCCACTTATGTTGACACAGGAATCCCATGCAAAGCATTGGAATCTATTTAATCCCACCCTCCCAGTTTTGGCTAGTGTTTTGGTGCCCAGAGAAGCATTTGGACAATCAAAAACGGATAGAAACAAGGGAGGAAATCTCTCCCAGAGGATTTTGACTGTGGGGTTTGTGTGGAGTGGCATGGCTGGAAGCCAGCATCAATTCCTCCCTGAGCCTCATTGGCATTTCAAGTGGGGAGCCCGCATTTCTGGCCTGGGCTTGTAAATTGTCTGATGGGCAGGGATTGTGCTCAACTAATTAAAGGTTCTTGGAGTACTAAATTAGACTAAGTGTCACTCAAAAACAGAAACCAACAATTGCGTGGCTTCACACAGGCTCTATCGCAGGGCCTCATTCTAACTGCCTTTGCCAGTCCACGAGCTAAGGCTGGAAGAGACTTGAGTGACCCTAGAGGAGAATGGACACTTTAGTAAGGATCATTTGGACCAGACAGTGGACTTAGGTAGTTAATAAAGATTTGCTTCTGCCGAAGTTTTCTGCTTGACTTTGGCCATGGTTTGTTTCTTGGCTTGTTTCTCAGTGTTATTAGCATTATATAAGGTACTTAATAGACCCTTTTGGGTTGGTCAATAACAATAGCCAAGCATTTCTTATTCATACTGTATCTTGCACTGTATCTTAGGTCTCTGGCATGCATCTTCTCTTCTGGACTGTCCCTGTCACTGGGAACTGACCCTGCCATCTGGGACCATCTCTGCATTCTCTATCTGCTGAGTAAGGTCTCCCTTCCAGTCCACCACAGTCTCTGTGACTTCAGTACAAAGATGCCTACTTGGCCTTCTGAAGCTCTAAGCACACCTGGTACCTCGGTCAATATCACACACCTTCATTCATTTTGTGCATTCCACAAATGCTGAGTCTTAGGATACACCATACCCTGGACCAGGTGTGCGCTCTGCATCTGTTCTGCAGATGGAAATAATTTGAACTTCATAAAACTTTCTGCATCTTCCTCCTTTTCCTTTTCTGCCTTCTTCGCATTTTCTTTCTTCCTACTGTTTCACAGGTTTTATTTGGTAGAGTGGTCAGCATTTTAATTTCAATTTATTTACTCATTTCTTTAAAAAAATCTTCTTGTGAAGCAATGTATACAATGTAGACACATACACATCCACATATATCCACACAGTTGCACACACATGCATGTATGCATACAGCTGCACCCATAATATACACACCACTGCACACATGCACACATATACATACAGCTGCGCACACATACAAGCAACTGTGCACACACCCGCACATGCACACATATATACACACAACTGCACACATACATATAGTCGCACACAGTACATATATGCACACAGCTATGCACTTATACATATACATACAGCTGCACACACATGCATATCGACACAGGTGCACACACATACATACAACTATGCACATGTGTACATACAGCTGCACACATGTACACATACACACAATTGCACACACATATATACATACAGACATACACACATGTATACACACAGCTAGACACACATAGCAGCACACACATACATATATACACAGCTAC